TTGTGTTGTTTGCTGTCTCTCCCGAACACGAGAATGTCGTTCAGATAGATAATGCAGTGTTTCGAGAATAGGCCAAGCAATGCCGTCTGCCTTCTTTGTTACTGCATTAAGCCGCCTATAATCGAAGCATAGATGCGAGCTGTCGTCACTCTTTAACTAATACGATGGGGGAGGCCCAGGAGGACTGGCAGGACCTGATAGCGTTATCGCACAGCTTCTCATCAATTAATCGATGTACTTCGTTTCGGTGAGGTGGTGGTGGTGGTGGTGTGCGTCTAGGCGGCTGCTAGGCCGCTTTGATCTCACCAGTATCGATCCTGTGTATGACTATGTTCGTTCGCCGCTGTTTCGCATTCCCCCCCCCCACCCCACCCGGAGAACAGTTGTGAGTTGTTCTTCAGGGGTGAGTGCAGTTCCATCCTCTCAACCTAAGTAACCTGTTTTAGTTGAGCGCAGAGGTCGTTCAGAATGGTCGTGGGGATGGCTAGGGCGTCAAAGAGGGATTTGCATATATCATCTGCGTCTTTCCTTGGTTTAGGGATCAAACGCTTCTTCTTGGACCATCAATGGATTGTGAGCTTGCCTGTATCGAAGTCCGTAACCGCTCGGGACTGGCTAGTTCTGGGCACAGCACGAAATTTACCTCCCAGTTGTCATTTCCGATTGAAACTCTGATAGGTGCTTCCTTTTCTTATGCAGAGTGTAGTCTAGTAGCCGGTGGGTTAATTTTGGCCTTCTTTCAGACCAAAAGAAAAGAGCATGTGTGACCTTCTAGCGTGCCCCGTACACGCATAAAGGTAGAACGTCGTGAGGGAGTTAGACAAGGCAAAGAAATGTGTGTCGTACTTCGCGTTGAGGGGCCGCATCGCAGAGCACGCCTTTGCCCGCCAGTAGGCCATCTGTTTGGGGTTCACGGGCGAATGGGAGCCTTGAAATCGGTTGAGATTGGTGACTTCTGGAGCCTAGCTAGTGCCGCGTCGATGAGATGGCTCAATCTGCTAGTCTTCATCTGCACCGGTTGTTCTGCCAAAGCAGGTGGGCGCACACCCCTTTTGAACTGGGCCGCTATCCATGAGGCAACCCGCAGGGGACAGCAAGCCCCTCAAAGCCTTCATCACTTTCTCCCGGTTTTTGTAACCGGTGAAAAGTCTGAAATCAAAAATTCTTCCTTCTGGAGGGATGTCAACTTAACAAGAACCTCACAGCAGTCTTCCATATCTGAGGAAAGCGAGACACTCGCATCCATTCCTTCTCAACGTAGGTCGTATGGCACTCTCCGAGCAGGCTCGTAGAGTTCGAGATCTGCCTTTGTAAAAAAAAGGCAGTCATCGAAATCAGTGTCTTCTTTGAAGAGAGGGATGCCGACTGACGCTGCCACCAGAGTAAGAGCTGCTCGTCTACCCTCTGATCCTTGAATCTCAGACTTCAAGAGAGAATTGGTTTCAGATGATCTATTAGGCATTTGTTATCAGGAAGGGTTGGGAATGGGATGCAGATGAGGCGATTAAGAGATATCAATTGAAAGGAGACTCCACGCCGGCTTCACCTATTAAAGTCCACTTAAACCAACTAGTATATCTTACGTTTATCTTGTTTTTTTCGCATAAACTGGCCTTCCGGTCAAACCGAAGTCCAACCTCTTTCCTTGCTCTCGAAAATTAAGTAGTCAGACCTACTTAATGCCTTCTTCTACCTGATGGAAATTCTCAAGATGTTGCAACCTGAATTGAATTTTTAACAAAGTCGGGTTCCCTCTCAGCTGCCACCAGTATAGCTCTATCACAGCATCCATCAAGCAATGGAAAACATAAGGATGGGTTAAAAATGTGAATTCTGAGAAAAGTGAATAAATGATAACCGCTCTCTTGGGAACCGCCAGCCGTACAGGCAGTCAAACAAACCAAGAACTACAGCCAGAGTGAGTCTTTTGCATGCACTATAAACATTCTTTAAGGTGTAACTTCACCGTATTTACCATTTTGATTATGACAATCTGTAAAATACTCCCTATCTCGATAATGCGTCTTTCCAGAGTTTCCTACCTCATTAATTAACTTGACTTACGGCGTGCTCCCTTTTTATGGCCCTTTAATGTCATGTTTCTGAGCATCGTTGCCTGTTTAAGACTCCCTACAGCTCGTGCTCAGATGCTCGCCACATTTTGCTAATCAAGTTCTTGCAATTCGAATAGTGGAGCACAAGACGCTTATCTTACCTTACCTTGTTAAGGCATAAGAACGGTTTCGAAAAACTGTCAAATAATAGCATAGCCTCCTGCTTCGTTTATTAGGCTGAACCGCATGAATGGCATTATCTAGATCTCAGCACAGTTTTGGCATCAGACTTTACACCACCTAATCAAATGTCACACTTGTCAAATGTACTTTTTTT